AAATGACCTGTCCTGGGCTTCTCTAGGACCCACAGGACGTACTAGACCAGCTTCAACAAAAAGCTTTATTCTAGCCACACAAAAAGAGCAAATTACTTGCCCAGTCCCCAAGGTTTTGACTAATATGAACAATATTATAAGAAACAGCACATTTTCTAAGCCAGGACCTTTTTTTCAGAGCCATGTAATAGAGGTGCAGCTCTTTCAGACCATACATACCGCTGTGGGAATGTAGATGAAGAGGGAGTAGCCGTATACACACACTATCTCCAGGAACGAGTAGGAGACAATGTTCATAACTTTACTGTTCCTCCACATCAGGAATCCCCAGAGAGCAAGGGGAACAAGCCAAGCGTATGCATAAATTGCTGTTGCTGCTATAGACACTGGAAATATGACAAAAGGTTTAATGTTCTACTTAGAATACCAGCCAGAATCAAAGGTGTAGAAGCATTTAGCCTGAAAACTAGAAAGCTACCTTTGATGTTACTTTAAAAATATAAACTTTGAATTATAAATAGAGAACTTCGCATTTACATCCAATTTACACCCACTACTTCAGCAGCACTTCAAGTTTGTTTAAAAGTAAAGACTCCAGAAAGTATTCTCTTGATATTTTCAATGTCTTTATTACACCTGTGCACAAAATGCTCTCAGTTTCAGTGTGAAAGGATGAGCCACAGAGGAAAGAAAAACTTGGTTAAAAATAAAAATTCTGCTACCAACAAGTACTAAAAATTTGGAATTCAGACATCCTGAAAAAATTGAAAGAGAAGACAGACACCAGTGTCACATCTTTAATTATTCAAGTGACTGGATTCCCAGGCAGCAGTGTTCTTCCAAGTACGTTGTGGATTTTAGAAACAAAGAGAAGCCGTGTTCCTCTGCAGGGACAGCAGCCTCCTCCATACTACAAAAACAGGTACAGACAACTGGCTCCTCACTTTGAGTTCTCTGGGCACATCTCAGCTGAACATCTGTTGCTTGTTTTCCAGAAGGAAACAACTTCCAGCCCTTGGTAGGCAATATGAGCAATACTCTAATTCAGCTATTCGCTGTCTGAGGCCTGTAGGGTCCTAGGAGGCCATGGACTCACAAAAGCACCTACAAAAGCACCACAGTGGCCACTGCTGGGCTTTCCCTCTCTGTACAAGGGGGCATGCACTAAGGCTAGAAAAAAAAAAAAAAAGCTCTAATTACTCCTGCTTGCTCTACTAAAACGCTGAAACTAGTTTATGCTCTGGAGGAGTAGGGTTTTGCCAGTTACACCCCACTTTAAGGACTCGTTTCACATCTCTAAAAATTTAAAGAGATCAATCAAAAGACTCTGTCAAATCAAAGCTGTGACCTGTTTTTATTACTTCATTAGTGTATTGTAAAAAAAAAAACAAAAACAAACCAAAAAAGCAAATCCACGAACTCAGGACTGTATCAACTACTTACAAACCTTTTCTGAACTCGGGCACATAGTGGTACGTTGGTTTGCCCAGATGGATGAAGAAGTTAGAGAGATTGCCACTAACAGCAATAGTAAAGACAAGTGTGGCACATATCCAAAACGGACCTTAAAAGGAAACAAACAAGTTCAGTAACAACTCCTCTGCCCTCTTGTTTTTTTAAGGTTAGCAAGTAAAAAGAAATACAAACTCAAAACATTTAGCACAGAAGAGAACTTCTCACACCTCATACCTACCATAAAGGTCGGGATTGCTGCGGATATACAGTCTTACAAAGTTCTTCCCTGGTACTGGGAAAACTGAACCTTTGATTCTGTCCAGGACCTGTGAAAACATACAGATTTGTCTGACTGTAAATGCAAGAAGGAAAAAACCTCAACGTCTGCATAAGGCATAGTTCAGGCAATAGTTCTCCTCTGGTATTAACCTGGTACGTGTCCACATCGAAGAACGTCTGGTAGTACTCAAATGTCCAGAAAGGGGCACTTTTCTTCTGTCCTGCAAGCAGCTGTATGGTGGGAAAGACAACATGGAAAATGTTACATGCATGCAATTTATGCATTACTAGTTCATTTACACAATAGTTAAGCGATTTCTGGACCCAGACAGAAAACAAACTTAGCAGAATGGCACTTAATATGAATTATTTAAGTGTTTCCCTTTCCCCTCTCTAATATTTGTGAGCAGCAGCTAGTCTCTTATCTCCCTGCAAGCAGAACAGTAGCCTGGCGTTCTAAAGAGTAGCCTGATACTACTTTCTGCCACACCATTATAACACACACCTTCATCAGCATGACAAGTTCCCTCGCTGTCTCGGCTGCATTAGCTGAACCCCTCAGACAAGCCCTGTGTGTTTCACAGTTTCCTGCTCTCCTGCCAGAGTCACCAACCCCACAGGAGAACAGACAGAAACAAGCACAGTGCTGGGTTTCCAGCTGCTGCTGCGCTTATCTCCTGGCATATTTGCTTAGCTTAAGTCACCACCATTTCAGTACAACCTCCTAGGCTGCAAACCACAACAGCTGAAGACCCAACACACATTTGCTTCTGCCAATTCTGCTATAGAGAAAGTAACCTGCAACAGAGAAGCAAGAGTTTTAAGTCACCCATCATAAATCCCTGGCATCCTCTAGAACTATCTGTGTTGTCAGCACCATTTGTATACGTGCCGATGGAAGTGCTGTAGATGTGAGAGCATTACCTCTGTTTTATCGGAGTCATCAGTCCCCAGTAACTCATCATCCTCTTCTCTCCCTGACTCCTGCAGACGGCCGTGCTGATTCTTGGGGATTTCAGCTGGCTCATCGATGCTTATTGTGGTGGCATCAGGATTTGCTGCAAGCAAATTAGCTGCATCGTCAAATTCTGCAAGTAAGTACATAAGACGACAGGTGATGATCAAGCTATCAAAATTTTTGTTCTGATGGCTCAAAAGACTACATTAAGACCCCTACACAGCCCAAGAAAAGATACACCACTTGCTTAGGCATGTCAAATATGATCTGCTTCTTAAAGGCCAAACCGACACGGATGAAGCTGAACATTTAGTTAGTTAATGAAGAGTGAGGCTGCCTTATGTGCCAATCTGCCCGCATTATGAGAAACTAGCACCACTGAGGCCTGCCTTTCCATCCTGCAATCAGCCCCAATTCAAGGACCAGCAGGTCCCTGCAAGGGCAAGGGGAAGCTGCCTCTCTGCAGGGACTGTAGAAATGGGCAATTTTAATCTTATCCAAAACATTTTTTTTTTCAGATCTGAATTTATTTATCAGAATTAAAGAAGTCTGAAACTACGGTCCATTCCAAATTAGTGTTCTGACCATCTTCAGCTTTCAATTTCCACCATAAAGGATTTCAGTCAATGCCAGTTACATTTTTTAGCTCACCAGCAGCACAATTTCATCTCAGGAAATTGGAGAAACTCCTGACACTACCTGCAAAACTTCAAGGAATCTTTTATTCAGAGAAAGCCCTGAAACGCTTCCAAGCCTCTAAACGCCCGACCACCCCACCAGCGGGGCCCCACACCCCACGTTTACACCTGCGCTGCCCACCTTTACCTTGAAATTTGAGGTCATCCACAGTCGCCATTCATCCGCTTGGTCGAGGAACCGCTCCCCGAGGCCCCGACCCTGCAAGAGACAGGCGGCAGCGCTGACCCCGCCGCTGACCCCGTCCCCGCCCCTCCGCGCCAGCCCCCCTGACCTGCCTCGGGCTCTCAGTGTCACCCCACGGCCACCCCCTCCCCGCCCAGGGCCGGCCTCGGCCCCGGGAAGCACCGGAGAAGGCTCCGCACCTCCGGGCCCCGCAGCCCAACCGCTCCCGGCAGCGGCCGCTTCGCTCCCTTCAAGCGGCAGCAGGCGCTGCGCAGCGACAGCCAATCAGCAGCTCCGTGCTCCCCTCTCCTTCCCCGCCTCTCTGGTCCGAGAGGCACCTACAAACGCCACTCATCGCGCCGGCCAATCAGAGGCCACGTGATGCTCCCTCTTCCGCCTCCGCCCGCTCCCTTAAAGAGCCCGCAGCCCCGGGGGAGGCCCTGGGGCTGCCCCGCCCGCCGCCCTCAGCCCTGCCCTCAACCGGGCAACGGCGGCTACATTTATGCATCTTAGATACATATATGCATACATGGATTATATATATAGTTATATGTGTGTATATCCTAGTATAAAGTGTATTACATGTTTTGATAATTCATATTTTTATATATATTGAGGTGTAATATAATTTTAGGGCATCATTCCAGCCCAAAGGTGACAAATGCCAGTGTGCAGCAGAGCAGGAGAGGAGGCAGAGCTTCAGGAACAGGGCACTTTTTGCACAGCACGTAGGAAATACAAGTGGCAGCATCAATCCAAGGCCCCAAGCCTTGGTCAGCATCGACCGTCCTGCACGGAGACGTGCACTCCGAGCCCTGCCCACGCAGGTCTAACACGTAACTGCTGGCAGAACCAGACCTTTTGGTACTGCTAATGTGACTCTTCTAATCTGTAGTTCAGGGAAAACAACCCGATTCAGTTCCTCTCATTAGTGAAATACACAACGTATTTGAGAATAAGCCTTATAACTGTACAGTGAGCACTAAAAATCTAACCATCACCATCAGTAATGCCTCCGGTGTAGATGGACATGGCATGGCCAACAAGCTCCTCACTCAACGCGGACACTGAAGTCCACAGAGAGGTGACAGCGTGCAAGGCAAGGCAGAAATTTCACCACACATGTGAACGTTTTTCCTCGCCCTCTACCTTTGCCCCTGCTATCACTCTGCATTCCCGTCGGAAGTGGTCAGACGTTCTCCACCACGATGTTCAGCCTCAGGGTATTCCTACAAAAAATCCTGATTCTTCTGCATGTTACTATGTGTGTTGTTGTTGGCAAAACAATGATGATACTGTTCCCCAATGCCATGAAAAGATACATCCTAAAACAGGGCGAAAAGAGCAGAATGAATAAGAATCCAAAGTTCAGCTACGAAAACTGGGGTCCGACTTTTTTCAGCTTCAAGTATTTGCTCTTCGTGCTGAAGGTGAAGTGGAAAAGGCTGGAGGATGAAGCCTTTGAGGGACATCCCGCTCCCAACACGCCGGTGGTGACTTTCAACGGGGAAGTTCGTCACCTCTTTGATTTCATACAAGGTCAGTAAATCAGCTGTGTGGATGGGTTTGGTTTGCTAAGTCGATACATGAGGGGAAGAGGCTGCTGAGGCAATAGGGGCAAGCAGCTGGCATGAGAGTGCACGACAAAGACGACCAGACTAACAGCACTCATTTGATGGAAAAGATGCAGCACGTTCTCTCCAGCTGTCTGCCTCTTGATTTTCAAAACTAACCTGTATTTATAATCCTGGCTACAATATCCCTTCACCACAGTAAGCTTATGAACCTCTTGCAAAAGCTGGCTCTGCCTGGAAGTACCTTTTCACGAAAGCCAAGATAATAATTTGTTTTAGGGGGAGAAGACCCAGAAACAGAACAGTGTGCAGTGCTTCACGAGTGTTGGCTGTCATTCCCTATATGTACAGAAAGTCCCACACCAGCTCCCTTAGTCAGCCTGAAGCCTAGAAAGCACACAGTGTTTTTTTCCAGATTCAAAGTGGCTAGAAATAAAGAAGAAAAAAAGGATCTGCTTTGTACTTTGTCCGCTCCCTCCCACTGAGATCTTTGTAGAACGTGGAATTAATCATTAAGCTGCAGTCTTGATCCCCATGGGAGGGATTACATCCTTCCCTAACTCTGCTTTTCTAATTATATAGATATATATATTTATGTAGAAAATAGGATGTAAATTTGGAAGCAATACACAATATCTACAGGAAGGTACCCCCTGTATTAGAGTCTTTAGGATGTGGATCTGTGTTAGCAGCAGTTTTTTAAATTAAGCCCAGCCAGAAGGAAGATCTTGAACAAATTTCAGTTAATTTAGCATAACCATAGACTAAAAGGGGTGCTTTAAAATCCTGCAAGTTCTCTGAAACTGAGGCCTTGCAAACAGATGCTAATGCCTGTGGGCATATACTGTGTTAATTTGTAAGCAACTTCACAGACATTTTTGCCAGTGGCTTGTGTAACATTAGTTTAATAAATAATAATATATAACCAGAGCTCTGTTTGGACAGGAAATTGCAGAAATACATTGAAAGCATGAAAGCCTGTGATGCACGACGGAAAAGTCTGCAGCTTCCACTCAGCTCAGCTAGAACTAACATCTCCAAAAAAAATCAAGACATGTCCAATATGTTCATCAAAAGGTGTTACAGGACTCTGTGCTTCTATGTCCATCCCTGAACCACTGTCCTTCAAAAAACCTTGCAGCTGATCATGTTTAGTATTTTTGAAGTTCCTTTATACTAAGGATCTCGGGAGGCGTGATGTGCTACGTGCCGTATAGGCATTTTCGATCAGTTCCCTATCCCAGCACGTTCATAACTTGCGAACTGGCTCTGGTGGCGAGGACGGGAGAGAAGCTGTGTGACTGCACAGTGCCTCCTGCCCCTTCCTGGGCTTTACAAAGGGTCCTTCCCCCTGGGTTAAGTTCACCGCTGGATCTGGCACAGGTCAGTGCCAGGCTAGGAGAAAAAAGCATTATTTTTTTGCATAAGTGTAGGTGTTCTGCTGTCAATTTGAATGTCCTGAGAAGAAAGTTATGGGATAAGTGACACCCACTGTGGCCCAGGAAACTCTGCTGCAGAGGCTCAATTTAGCACATTCATTTAATTCTGTCCTTCCTCCCACCACTGATTTAACCACAAACTGTCCTGCGTTTTTTTTGCAGATAATCGACCTTTAATCCTGAATTTTGGAAGTTGCACCTGACCTTCCTTTATGTTAAAATTTGATGAGTTCAACCAGCTCATCAAAGATTTCAGCTCTGTAGCAGATTTCCTTATCATCTACATCGAAGAAGCTCATGCAGAAGGTACAGTACAAACATCACAGTAATGCCTACCAAAACTTCAGACATGGTATCATTCCTTTTAGGAAGAAAAACATGTTAGTAAAGGAGAAACCAGCAAACGGGAAGGAAATCTTCCTCAAATCAAAAGTGGCAACACTATATCTAGGCACCAATTTGTGTCCCTTAATCTCCAAAGATTTTACTCACACATCTGAGTTTACACAGAGGGACTCTGGTGAAGACACGTCTGTGAAGCAAAGCATAAATAAAGTTTCATCTTTACAAAACTTCCTCTCAGTGAGGAAGCTCCTTTTGGAAGGAAAAAACTCAAATGCATTTCCTAGAACAAAGGTTAAGCGTACAATGCCAGAATGATACATGTGGGGTTTTTTTAAAAAAAAATAATTTTTAATATGTCTCCAGAACAGGATGCAGACTCTAATTTGAAAAATTCAACAACTATACACATTCTTTTATCTACACTGGACTCTAAGTAACACACTGATTTTATCCCAGGGTTAAAGTCAGGTTTTCTAAAATGTAACATTTACATTTTCAAATTTTCTAACAATACATCACCTTCCAGTAGGTGAGAAACAGATAATAACTAAGTCACTCATCAAAACCTTTTCCTAGTTTCTACTTTACTAGGAAGAGTTGTGTGCAAATGCGTGTTTGGTATTTCTGGAAAAGGAAGGTATGCCCTGTCTCAAATGTTTCACTTCTCACAGATATGAAATTTTGTTTTATAGGCAGAATGAACAGTACAGTTGTTGCAACTGTGCTAAATGAACAGATGCCAGCTGATAGCACTACTTACCATTTTAAAATCCCCTCTGTGCCAATAATTTTGTCAGACCTTACCCAAATAGGATATACGTCCCCCACCTGGTATGTTTCTAGGGTTGATTTAATGTGGGAAAATGTCAACTAAAATACATCCAATATTTCTGAATCCAGGGCAAGGGGAAAATACAGTTTGCTGAAATTAAAGAAAAAAAAAAAAAGATCTTGCGACCATTTATTTGGAAAGCTGTAGTGCTCTCGTACTCTGGGGACTTTCATTTCATGGCAGGTTTTGGTGTTAGAAGTAAATTGCTGTATTCTTTTAACACAGCTTTGGGATATGACACACAGAACATCTCCACCCTTAACACCTATTCAAAATATTCCTTGCTAAATCCCTTTCTCCTTTGTTTTAGATGGATGGGCTTTTAAAAACAATATTGTTATTAAAAATCACAGAAGCCTTGAAGATCGAAAAATTGCATCACAATTTCTTCAGAAAAATAATCCTTTATGCCCAGTGGTTTTAGACACTATGGAAAACCTGAGCAGTTCAAAATATGCTGCATTGCCAGAACGACTGTATCTACTTCAAGGAGGGAAGGTTACCTACAAGGTAAAAAATACCAACAATAATAATAAGCACAATATATTGAGGGTTTTGAATTTCAGAATAATTTGAGAATGCTTTACATTTAACAGTATTTCATTCTATTTGAGAGCTAAAAATGTCACGATTCACTTAACTGTGGACAACAAAACCACTCTGGGCCTTCATAACATACGTATTTGATGTACACCTCAGTCTTGCTCCAAATATTTATCTTTTGGCTCATTAGGAAACTTAGGTACATCTAAGATGTGAGATCCAGGAACGCTTTCCAGTTCCAGGACCCAGCCGTTGGCCCTGTCCCAGTTACGCAGCAGGCTGTAACCTGTGTGTACACCATCTCCCAAGTGACAGCTGCCACGCAGAGGAAGCCTGGGCACACCTGCCTGCAGTTCGGGGGCAGCTCCTGGGCTCTAAAGGACTTCTGCTTTGTCTGCTTGAGCATCACTCTGTAATTTTATTGCCTTTACAGGGAGGAGTGGGGCCTTGGAATTATCACCCTCAGGAAATACGTGCCATCCTGGAAAAACTGAAGTAGAAAAAGGAAAAGGACTTCAGAGTAAAGACAACTGAATAAAAAACCTCAATGACTAAGAAGAAAAAAAAGAACTTAACAACAGAGGCCACAAGGAAAATAATACTCCATGTGCATCTAAAGAGCATCTATAATGTGGTTCATTGTGTTTGTCTAGAGGTTTTCAAGTCTCATCGCTACAACCCCAGCTACTGCACTGTAGCGTCTTACTACGCTTCTACCACATGCAGTAATGAACAGTAGCTGAGTCTGCTGAGCTGTCAGGACACCAGCGAGTACCTCTGTAAGGAATATTGTGCAAGATAAACTTCAGGGGTGGTGACATTTGCAGAAGTCGACTGGCATGCAAACCAACCAATTTCATGTTAAGATTCTCTCGTATACATAAAATTTTCCTAAATGTTCACTTTCACCGACTTCAGAAGGCTTCTGAGTAAGACAATCTCTAGTAACATTTGTTTCTAGTAATATTTTTATGACAGTCATAGCATAAAGCACAAGCGGCTGTGACCTGAATGTGGAAAATATTTACAGAAACAAGGGATTGATCTGCAATTATTAAAACTCTATCAGAGCACTTCATTTGGCTTCAGATTATTTCCCTCCCTGCCCTGCCCCTCTCCCCCCACGGTGTATCTAAGCATCAGTAGATGTTTATGTTCATCCTAATCTTGAACAGTTTGAGTTGATAAGGAAGTTACCAATTTAAGGATTTGTTTGACAGGAGGAAGTAATACCTCCCATTTAAGTATTTCACACTTTTTTTTTTTCTATTTAACTCAGAGTGCAAGGGAAACATTTTACAGGAAATCGATTCATATATTGAGAAAGCCTGATATAAATATACTAATTGAAATGGACTCAATTATGTTCAAGTGTTCTAGGCTAACAGTCTAGGTTATAAAACTAGAAAGCTGTTACTATGACTAACAGGAGCACTGCATTGCATACACTGAACTGGCAGGGAATACATACTACATCCGTACCTTCAAAAAACTCTTCAATATCAAGTTTTAATAATAAATATTCTCTGCACTACAGATAGCAAAATGTAACTTCTTTATTAAAAAAAAAAAAAAAGAGGTAAAAATTTAAGCTGGATTTAAGTGTTTTCTGCTGTGCCCTCTGCCATCACCCGGTGCACTGATACAAAATGATCAAAGCCAGATTTGATGATGAAACGCAAGTAAGTGGCCTGGAAATCAGGAAGCTGTAGAAGGGGGGAAAAAAAAAAGTTACTGAATTGTCTGTAGTAACCTAACTATCAAACAAAACTTGCAGAAGTTTGTCAGACAGAAGGATTTAGATATTTCTGTGTCTTTTTTCAAATTGCACCTAAATCAAGCTCTTTTAATACACCTAGTCAGCTTCAGAGTTTCTTTAGATGACAGCAATTCAAAAAAGTCCCATCCCTCCTGAATACTGTGGCCTTAAAGGCAACAACTAAAGGAGGAAAGATTGCCACGCTTCTGGGAAGAGCTCTTTCGCAGAGTTAGGAACAGCAGGCAGGAGCAATTTCATACCATAATCTACAAAGGTGCAGTCAGGAAGTGCCATTTCATACCACGATCTACTAATTCCTGTATCTTAACATCAACTTAGCAATAATTGCAAATAAAGACATGTCTTGGTTTTTCATAGTTTCGCCACAGTTAGTCCAGACATCCCATTTCATGAATCACTCCTGATGTACACTGTAAATACTCACTGGAAATTCTTCCATTTGAAGCTGTCCTTCTGTGTGTTGCAAATCTAGAAAATATATTTTAAAGCAAATAATGAAGAATAATGTGTAGTGCTGTGAGAAGTTTTCACTGGACTTCAGCGTTCAAGAGAGCTTAAGGACCATGAACTTACATTACATATGGAAGTTGGTTTTTTTAACAAGGTGATTTAACAGAACATTCATCACACAATTTCATGTCACCCAAATGGCATTTAAAAAATAAAAGCCAAAAAAACCAAACCAACCAACCAACACAGGAAATGGCACTCTATTATACTATGTAAGTCTTGTTTTTAAATTTTGGAACATAAAAGTGAGTGCACAAGTAGTGCTTTTAACCCTTATACAACATTTTACATCTCCAACGTGCTACAGAGACCAGCAGTGTTGATAAACTTAATTTAAATGTGACTACATTAAGATCTAATAAAATAATCATCAAGCCACAGTTGACTGCTCAACAAATAGACATGGGGTTGAAATAGCTCACTGAAAAAGATCCAACATGATTCCCACAAAATCCCTGCTGCTTCAGAATCTTACCTTTTTCAATGCACTGTTCAAAACCCACTGGGTCTTTAGATACGCTTCTTTCAATCCTTAAGGTCCGCACTAAAATATATATACATTTAAAATACCAAGACAAATTCTGATTCTTTATTCATAATTATATTTATTCCAACACTCTTCATCTACAAAGCACTTCAAAAGCATTAACTAATCCATTCTTCCTCTAATTTATGGGGCAGGACTGTCATACAACCACCATCCTCATGTTCCAGGTTGGACAAAAAATGACAAGTTTTCATGTCTTTTGTGTAGTCTTAATAGTCAAGATCCTATCTCCACAATCTGACCTTGTAACAGGCCTTTCTGGCTTAGAACTCATGTTTTCCTCAGCATTATTTAAAAAGTAAGACTAAGACTAAATCAATATTCAAAATAAGTCATAAAAAGATTAAGTATTGTAGTCCTGTCCATGAAATTAGAACAGCCATCACTGTACAACAGAACTGTTGATTATAATCTCAATAGGAGGTGTTGTAAGAACAAAGTAAGTGCAGGTGGGGTAGATTTACCATCTTTTCCTGATTTATGAGAATGTTTGGCCATAAAGGATGATAGCTTTGTGAAGTTAAATCTTTAAGAATCTCTTAATAGTGGCCACTTACAGAACACAACACTACTCTGAGAATTTACATGCAGGCACAGACACACGTTTTAACGTATTACGTAGGTATTACCTACCGCTATGCATGAAGTCTTACCTAAATAACACTGGATTGAGACTTTGCTGATTTTTACACATTTAGGAAAACCAATAATGAATTCCTGTGGGAACATGCCTGTCGTCGTCCAAAACGTTTCTGAACTTCTGTGGAGAGAACAGGACAAAACCCCACCTGCAGCTTTCCATCTACAAGTCTCTCGAAAGAAATTTGTCACCAAAAAAAAGTTGCAAAGCCATTTTCATTTGAGGTATTTTAAGCAAATCGCTGTACGACAATGGGGAAGCTCTCCGGAGGTATTAATATTTTAACGTTCAGGCTCTGTACCCGAGCAGTACCACAGGACTCAAAAATGGTGGGGGCCCCGAAACAGGAGTTAAATTATGTGGCAACGTGAGCGGGAAGCCAAGGGGCTGAGCCTCGCCTGCGAGGGGCCGCGGGAACGGCAGGAGCGGGAGGGAGCTCTGCGGGGCCATTTGGAT